ACTCTCAGTTAGTGTTGAGATTTATTTAGGATGGATGTTGAACATTCAATGTGTAGTCTATGTGTAGTCTAATATTGTCTATACTTTTTTAGAGCAGGTCTTGATAGGTACGTCGATTTTCAGGTTAATTTGTGTTCCAGGGAAAGACTGAATGGATAGCTTATATGGTTGGGGCTTGCTTGGTAGATGAGGAACAGCCATCAGGAGTGAGAAAGTGAAGAACATATAAGAATAATTGCTTTAATTTAACTTTTCAAATGTCATAATGAATGCAGAAACATCTGCTTTTAAATGAGAAATACTAGCATTAATCATATTTAAAATGTTTTCATTCCAATTGTGTGACTTTCCCCGAGCAGGAATATAAAAAAAAAATGCCCAGCTCAGCCTCAGGCAAATGTACACTCGTCCATCGCTATTGGATGCGTCTGGTCTGGTCTGGCCTGGCCTGGCTAATGCCCCATAGGCTGTTGCGGCACTGTGAGAAGCGACTTGTGGCGTCCCGAAAACAACAACAACAACAATAATAAGCAAATGTCATCTTGCCATATCACAGCAGTGACAAATCACCATCGACGACGACGCTGACGATCATCGCAGTGTTCGACAACGCCAGCAGACAGTGGACAGCAGGCATTGGCAGGTTTTCGCAAGCCTCGGACCCAAATGGCCTGCCCGTCTGGCAGTTTTGTGGCTTCTGCTGGTCTGCATGACAAAAAAATGCAAGCGAAATATATATATATATATATATATATATATGTACATACATAGTATACATATAAATGGTCATTAATTTCAAAGCAAAAAAATAATAAAAAAAGAAACAAATTGAAGGTTAAAATGTAATTGAAAACGGGTCGGGTGGGTCGACACTTATTGTGCAAGTTGTTTGTAAACAGTTGAACGTTTTTACTGTTAACATTGCTGTTGTTGTTGTTGCTGTGTTTGTTGCTTGTCCACCACCATTGTTGCAGTTGTTGTTGCTGCACTTAATTACGACTCAATTGATTTCGGCCAACTCGTTAAAGCTGCATGTCTTCACAATTCAATTGAGATGCAAAGCTTGGTGTCTTTTATTGTTGTTGCTGTTGCTGTTGTTGTTGTTGCTGTCATCGCCAGTCACACGCACATTGTTCACAATTGTTGTTGTTGTTGTTGCATTTTGTGTTTTTTTATTTCTTATTTTCATTTAACACGTTCGGCATTTTTGTGTTTGATTTTCGAAAATGGTTCATTAACATTTTCACATTTTTCGTGGCTCGCTTTCTAATATTTGTGACATTTTTTTGTTTGTTTTTTTTTTTAAATTTCGTATGAGTATGTTTAGTTTTTTATTTGTTCAGTTTTTCCCCCATTTATGCACAATTAACAATTTAACATTCAATTTGTGTGTGTGTGTGTGTGTGTGTGCTTAAATTGCCTTTTGTGCGCTTTGTATTGCCCTTGAGAGTGAGAAAGTGAAGAACATATAAGAATAATTGCTTTAATTTAACTTTTCAAATGTCATAATGAATGCAGAAACATCTGCTTTTAAATGAGAAATACTAGCATTAATCATATTTAAAATGTTTTCATTCCAATTGTGTGACTTTCCCCGAGCAGGAATATAAAAAAAAAATGCCCAGCTCAGCCTCAGGCAAATGTACACTCGTCCATCGCTATTGGATGCGTCTGGTCTGGTCTGGCCTGGCCTGGCTAATGCCCCATAGGCTGTTGCGGCACTGTGAGAAGCGACTTGTGGCGTCCCGAAAACAACAACAACAACAATAATAAGCAAATGTCATCTTGCCATATCACAGCAGTGACAAATCACCATCGACGACGACGCTGACGATCATCGCAGTGTTCGACAACGCCAGCAGACAGTGGACAGCAGGCATTGGCAGGTTTTCGCAAGCCTCGGACCCAAATGGCCTGCCCGTCTGGCAGTTTTGTGGCTTCTGCTGGTCTGCATGACAAAAAAATGCAAGCGAAATATATATATATATATATATATGTACATACATAGTATACATATAAATGGTCATTAATTTCAAAGCAAAAAAATAATAAAAAAAGAAACAAATTGAAGGTTAAAATGTAATTGAAAACGGGTCGGGTGGGTCGACACTTATTGTGCAAGTTGTTTGTAAACAGTTGAACGTTTTTACTGTTAACATTGCTGTTGTTGTTGTTGCTGTGTTTGTTGCTTGTCCACCACCATTGTTGCAGTTGTTGTTGCTGCACTTAATTACGACTCAATTGATTTCGGCCAACTCGTTAAAGCTGCATGTCTTCACAATTCAATTGAGATGCAAAGCTTGGTGTCTTTTATTGTTGTTGCTGTTGCTGTTGTTGTTGTTGCTGTCATCGCCAGTCACACGCACATTGTTCACAATTGTTGTTGTTGTTGTTGCATTTTGTGTTTTTTTATTTCTTATTTTCATTTAACACGTTCGGCATTTTTGTGTTTGATTTTCGAAAATGGTTCATTAACATTTTCACATTTTTCGTGGCTCGCTTTCTAATATTTGTGACATTTTTTTGTTTGTTTTTTTTTTTAAATTTCGTATGAGTATGTTTAGTTTTTTATTTGTTCAGTTTTTCCCCCATTTATGCACAATTAACAATTTAACATTCAATTTGTGTGTGTGTGTGTGTGTGCTTAAATTGCCTTTTGTGCGCTTTGTATTGCCCTTTGTTGCATTCCCCATATTTGCGATCATAAAAATGCATTTTATTGTTGCTGCTGTGAAACGCGAACACAAAACACAAACAATGCCGTCATTTAAGCAAAATGCATTTTATAACTACTATTTTGTTGCAATGTGTGTGTGTCTGTGTCTGTGTTAAATATTTTGTCGTTTCAAAGTTGATTGAACTTGGCGATAAGTTTCAAGGAAAGAAAGCGCTTTGCTTTGAAAATTGATCATAATATTTGCATATTACTTGTCTGAGAGACCGATCCAATAAAATGCGATGAATAAAGCTCTGCTTTGTTATGAGACTTTAATTCAATAATGGCGATTGAAATAAATGAATAAAATGTTATAAAATTATAGTGGCAGAAAATTAATTCATTATTTGATAATAACTTTAAACTGACTAATCATAGCTCAAGTAGCATATCTACAAGTACTTGTAGATACTTGTATAAAGCCGAAGGCTATAAAACGTTTTAAATTCTATAGCTTTCATGCTATAGAGTCTATCAAATTGGAAATATCAGGAAATAGTGTTCACTTCATAAATTTGCAAGCTTTTATATTGTAAAGAAAGCATTGTAGGTTGTAGAATAAAGTTAAATAAAATGTAAAAGGTAAACATACACATAACTTTCTTCACTCTGAACTTCCTTAGAAAATTAACTATAGTTCTTTACTTTACTCTACTTAAGTAGTAAATATAAATTATCTGCATGCTGCAATCATTAAAGCCACGTTCTTTTCAGAATATTTATTACATTTAAATAATTGAAATTAAACAAACAATAGCAAATTGATTTAGTTGACCTAAGTATTATTTATTTTTCAACTGTTGATGGCTTTTGCGTTAATTCTAATGTATTTCAAAGTATTTGTAGCGCTGGAATGTCCTTTGAATAAATACATTTAAAGCAGCAGATTCTGCAATTATAATATAATAAGAGAACAATCATGCCTATATGGAAAGGTTATATTAAGGATGGATTGAGATAGTTGGGGTCCTAAAAAGCGCATAGTGATTTCAAAATCTCATTTTTTGGGATGTTTGTGAGGTCATTTAGAAAGAGTTGCCCAAAGCCAAATCTCCTAAATCTGCTAAGTGCTGGATAGTAACAAAGCAGGACCTGCTTGGAAAACTGGCACCACAATTTCATTAAATACTTTATAAGTAATTATCTTCATCGAGTCTAAGTCTAAAATTCTTTTAAATTTGTGCTATTATGAAATATTTAAGTGATGGTAATTATTGAATGTTCTTTAATGCTTAAAACTAAAAGTCCACACAAATTGAATTTAATTGGGAAACCAATATAGAGATGTAGGCCTGTCCGCTGGTTTTCTCCGTCTGTCTACAGCCTGTCCGTCTGTATGAACACCGAAGCACAACATAAACGGACACCAAACTTCGTAAGTAGAATTGTCTCATATATGGGCAGAACAAGTTTATTAAAAACCATGCAAAGCCCTATTATTTTATATACGAATACATGGAAATGGAATTTGTCCAAATATCAATCTTAGTATAAAACATTTTTGCTTTATAAAGATATCGTAGCCAAATCTGGTATTTATAAGTTTTGATTTGTGCCTCATAATATTTTAAAGTTTATTTAAAATCGACTTACTATCTAAATACATAAATAAATAAAAAAAAAATAAATACATAAATAAATAAAGAAATAAAAAAAAAAAATAAATACATAAATAAATAAAGAAAAAAAACATAATAAATAAAAATAAATAAATAAATAAAAATAAATAAATACATAAATAAATAAATAAAAAAATATAAATACATAAATAAATAAATAAATAAATAAATAAAGAAAAAATAAATAATAATAAATAAATAAATAAAAATAAATAAATCTGTTATAGTACAAACAACTTTTCTATTTATTTTTAAACCTAAACAAATTTGATCTTTGCAAGTTGTTTTTTGCAGGTTTGCACCATTATCTCAAGTTTTATTAAAATCGGTGAACTATATCATATAGCTGCCATAGAAGCTAACGCAGCAAGACTCAGTCTTAGTTCGAAATACTTTTTTGTTTATCGCGATATCGTAGACAAACAACTTGTAGTTGCTTAATTTTTTTATTGAGGTTCACCATAATCTGAAGTTGAACCAAAGTCGGTGAAACTATGTCAAATATTTAGCAAAGATTGGTAAAGCACAGTATATTTCAGGGGAAAATTGTGGGAACGGTGTACTTAGGAGCTTGGAAACACGTGGACTTGCCTAATAATCGTTAGCCAAATATTAAAATTCATTATGAGTTTAATAAGGCAATTACAATTAGGCATTTAACTTACCGATTTGCGAACAATTTAATTTGTTTTTTTTTTTTCTTTGCTTCAACTGCTTTACCGTTTTCGCGTGGCTCTGCAAATAAAATGAATGAACAAAAATGCGACTTATTATTATTCATGGGTAGAGGTGGCATTGGGGGGGGGGGGGAATTGACAAGCCCACACATTCCCCAACATTTGACTGACAAAAATGTCATAACAAGCCCCTTACAGACAGACAGGCAGACAATTTTGTTTGTGCAATTGAAAATGTCAGCAAGACTTAAAAAAAAATTTCGGAAAAATAAGACAGAAAAAAAAATGAAAATCACAAAATGCAGCCAAATATTTTGCAAGCGCATAAAAACGTTGACTGACAAACATTAAAAAGCAAATAGCGAACAATTATATTCTGATTGCCAACAACAACAACAACAGAGTGCCAATTTTGAACAGGTCGCGACAAGCCGCCGATTGTACAAATGACGTCGGTGGCTGACCCACTTAGTAGAAGCAGAAGTACGAGTACGAGTAGCCACCGTCAAAGTTTTCCGTTTGTGGGTAATTGCGGCATTTTCCAAACGTTTGCATTGTTTTCATTGCTGTTGTTGTTGTTGTTGTTATTGCTGCCATATTATGCAATGTCGAGTTGGCGGCTTTTTGACTTTTGGCGACTTGCTGCCAAACATGAAAACAGTTATCTATGAAATTGCATCGACAAACGTGCTGAACGTTACCCAAAAAAAAAAAAAAAAAAAAAAAAAAACCCCAAACTCCAAGAAGAAGAAGAAGCAGAAGCAGATAAGGTTGGGGCTGAGGATGAGGATGAGAATGACGAGCGACTCTAGGCAACCTTTTATATTGTATGTAGCACAGAAAAAGCTTTAGAAAAAAGAAGAAAAAAAAATGTGCAAGCTCTTCTTCCGACTTCGCTGCGCTTCGTCTGTCCATTTGGTTGGTCTTTGTTGTGTCTGTATGTCGGTCGGTCGGTCGGTTGGTCGGTTGGTCGGTCGCTTTGTTTGTTGCCAGCCGTGTGCCTAATTCTCATGTCAACTCTGCGCCAAGACAATGCCGACCAACATCGTCTACATCGCCGCCGCTCAGGTCGTGAGCAGAGATGCTGTGCACCAACTTTGCACTTTTCCTGCACTTTTCCCACACCCGTTCGAGCACAAAAGCAGCAAAGCAGCAAAGCAGAAAAGCGGAAAAGCACAGAAACAAAATAAGGAAAAAATTTCTTCTTGCCTAAATTGTGTGACACACTCACATCGACCTAACACACATACATACATACTATATACATACAAACGTGCATATGTGTGTGTGCGCATGCCTATAAATAATATTAGCAGCTTTACAGTGGCTTTTGCATAATTCGAAAGCGCGAACACGAACAAATGGGAGCATTAACAATACTATATTTCATAACTCACATACTATTAAACAATTGGCACCTTCATTCGAAGTCGATATTTCAGAGAAATCTTTGATTACGCATCAAATGTTTGCATCCAAAGAAATAACTAATATTGTTTGTATTTGCATGCATTTCTATATAAATGCTTTGTCTTTATAGTGAAGGGTAACTAACAAAAGGATGACGGCACTCCATGCACTATAAACAAATTGTGACAAGCGTCTGTCTGGATGAACGTCTGTATTTCGGAAACGACTGAGCCCACATTAAACAAACTCGGCACGTAGACTCTTCTAGTTCCCATGCAACACAAGTTTATTTTATATGTTGATGTTATACACCTTTTTACTGCTATAGAATAAATAATTCAAAAGCTACATTTCTACATAAAACGTTTTTATTTATTACGATTTTTTTTAAAGTATTATTGGTATTTATTTTATTTTTCTTTATTGGTCTTTTATAGCGCCTCACCACAATCTAAAGTATGAGGAAAGTCGATTGACCATGTCGTACAGCAGCCATAGCAACTATCGGTGTAAAAACTAAGATATCGTATCGAACTTACGCATAAATAGGAGTTTGTTGCATTTAAATTTATTTGGAATATTTATTATTTATTTAATATATTTGTTCTTCTACTTTAATTGGCATATAAAGCTGTTTATATGCGCCACGAGAACAGTGGAGCCGCGGGTTCGGCCTGCTTGATGTTTCTTTTAAAGCAACCATTACTTTTTTTTAAAAAAAAAAAGTATTTTTTAAACAAAAATGATGAAGAAGTGCCTCGCTCTGCTCCACAGTATTTCCATCAGCTTAAATGTTATTTCTACGTTTAAAGTTTCAGCAAAGCTGGCATTTATTTATTTGAATTTCATGGAATATTGCTTTGTATTTGTTTGAATATTTTGTTGCAATACATTTTATTACTTTTTTACTTCCACGCATCTGCTATTTGCGCTTTATTTGAATTTGTTTGCATTTAACACAATCTTGTTGTTTTCATTTCATTTTATTATTGACTTCATTATTAATTTGAGTAATTATTCGAAGTTATGTCTGTATTTGTAACTGTTTGCATTTATTTGTTTGTTTCTGCTTGCTTTTAGCTTAATTTTTGCATCATTTATCGCAATTCGTTTCGCTGTTTTTCAGGCTGTTTGCATTTGTTCGTATTTGTTTATTTAGTAGTTTAATTAAACAGAGTATATAAATTGGTGGACAAAGTTATTACCTTTGAGAAATATAGATAATTATTTTGTAACCCATTAGATGTGAAGTTTGAAACTAAAGTCATTATTATTATAAGTATTATCGTATTAATTAAAAATTAGTCCAGCAGTTGTTTATTTAGAAATAAATTGCAGAATGTAACACTTTAAAACACAATTGCAAAAAGCTGTTAAGTTTTGCAATTTACTCAAAGATTACACGAATATTTTTCTCATATTATGTTCAAAAAAAAAAAAAAAAATGTTGTCAGCTACATTTATTTCAAAATTATGTGGAGAAAAACAAAAAGTTGAACGAATGTCGAATAACTGTACTTTTTCACATTACGTCAAGATTTATTGATGTATAAATAGTTTCGTGTGAGTTTTCTTGTTGTAGTTGAAGTTGTTGTTGTTAGTTTAAGTTTTGTTATTATTATTATTGTTAGCTGGCTGCTGCGCTTGTAATTACAGCAACAGCAACAACAACAACAACAATCAACTACAATGAACAGTTGCATTTAATGTGCCTAATGAGCGGTTTGTTCTGCAACAATAACAACTACAAGTATGGCAACAACAACAACAACAAATGCTCCACTTGGCAACTAATTCGTTGATCATTTTGTTCCTATTTTTTTCTTCTGCTTCTTCATCTGCTTGCTATTGTTGTTGTTGCCTCACATTTTTTCAATGGCTGTTGTTATTACTGTCGTTGTTGTTGTTGTTGTTGTTGCTGTTGCTGTTGTTGCTGTAGTTGGCGTGCATGCCACGTTTTTTACGTCATTTGAGTTTCGGGCAGCAAGTTCGTTTCCTAAGTCTTTTGTTTTGCCGTGGGTAATCGCCAGTGTGCTGATTTCTATTGGTTTGGAAATGTGCCACGCCCCTGTGCCCAGTCACTCACTCACTCAGTCAGTCAGTCAACAAAATTCTACACTATTGTTGCAGCTGCCCCTCCCCCTCCCTCGCCCCCTCCAGCGACCACTTGCAAAGATTTTTTGTTTGGCAGCCAATGTGGGTTGCTCGGTCATTCAGAGAGGACAGCGAGAATTCAGTTTTCGAGGGGGGCGCTACAAAATTTTTGGTGTTCAGTTATAAAATGCGCTTACGAAATCAATTATGAAACGACAACCAGCTGTGCCTGTGACGCCAAAAAAAAAAACAAACTCTTTGTTGATTACAGAAATGAAATTAAAAAGAAGAAAAAAGCACCGTCAAATGAAATCAAAAGTCATAAAAGTCACAAAAGTCACGCTTTCTTTGATATTCGCACAAATTGTGACGCGGCCAGACCTACGCTACATAAATATATACGACATATATATATTGGATATGTATATGTATCTGTGTGTGTGTGTGTGTGTGTGGGCAGAGATTTGCAATCGAGCCGAATACGTGACCAAAAGTCGCGGCAATAACATTGACATTTGCGTTAATTAAAAGTCAAGTGTTAATTAAAACAAAACTAGCTTGACACGCACCCACAAAAATATGTAACTTTTGTCTGTACAACGACAACAACAACAACAACTACATGCAAAACCAAAGAGAAAAAAAATTGTGATGAGGCTTGAGAATTCTTTTTCCATTTGCATGCAACAAAAGAACTGCATGCAAAGGAATTTCAAATAATGTTTCGATGAGCAGAAGATTTGTTGAATATACTTGTATTGCTGAAGTCCTTGTAGTCTCAGGACAAGGAACTCTACGGTCTTACTGTTGTGTTGTTGTTCAACCGTCTGCAAACTTGATATTGAATAACACGGTCTTTTCTACACGATTTTGATATAACACGGTTTGAAAATTAAAAATTTCATATATAAGTATTTCTTTAGAGATAAGGAACCAATCACCTATTTTTGCATACTTATAATCAATGTCTTTTTTAACACGGTTGTTTCTGGAACCAGTCTACCGTGTAAAAACAGAATTAGGTTACCAATTTATATTATATCAATATTGATAGCAACAAACCAATATCTGTAAGTTTGTGGTTATCCCATAAAGAACATCAAGTTCATTTCCGAAGTGCCTTTTAATTGTGAGAAACAAGCAAACTAAAGTTTCAAGTTGTTTAATTTAAAAAGAATCCTTAAATCAAAAAATGTAGCTTAGAATGTCCTTACGATAACAGGTGTTTATAATTAGACAAGCACGTCAATATTATTATTATATTATTTTTTAGACAAAAAAAAAACAACACTTTCTTTTGCAATTAACTTTTTTTTAAATTAACTTTTCAAGGCCGTCTTGAAAACTGTGACTGATTTCTGCGCAAAAATGATTTGCGCACCTAATCGCATCAATTAAAATATTTATTTTTTTAATTTTTTTAGATGAAGCTTACAGAAAGTTAACTTCATCTCAGCCTTTCTATGTTTCATAGATTAACATGAACATACATATAGTCGCCTGAGGGCCTTTTGATTATTTCCTTTCCATCATTGTGGCAGGTTCTTTATGCTG